GTATTTGCTTTTCTGCTTTTAATCACAAGATGTAGGACATAACTTCGCAGATGAAAGTAGATTCATAATATGAGATATTATGCATGTTTCAAGTGGTTAATGCAAGCACCTAGATGTATTAGAAATCTGCCATGCCACTACATGATGCCTAAAACATCATGTCCCTTTCCCTTGTACCTCTAGAAACAGGAGCCTGTGAAGACACCTTTAGAGACTTTCAGATGTCTGGTAAAAATAACCAGTAAACTCTTTTTCTACAAGATTATGGCAGATTTTAAGTTTAAACTGTTAAACTTTGGCAAGAGAGTTTAAAAGACTAAAAACGTTTCTGACAGCCAATTTTCCAGTTATCTGGCTGTACATCTCCAACGCTTTTAGCATCACTGACAAGTGTTACCACCATTTCTTTCTTATCTGTACATACTAGAAGATAGCAACCATCCTGCTTTAAGTTGGACAAGTATGCATTTCAGATTCAGTGTTATGAAGGTGGAGAATCTACCAAAGGGGTCCTCTTCCTACTGCTCAAAGGAATGCTTTTATACAGGCTTAACAAGTGCTTAAGATTCTAGATTGAAGATATAAGATCCCTATGAATTCATGACAAATGTAAGAAAAATATAGTTACAGAAGCTTGTTAGGCTTTGGGTTTGTGTTTTTGTTTTGTTTTTTTGCTGATGCTTAATTTATTATCAGTAATTTTTTAATATACTGGGATAGCATTGGTTAATAAAATTATATAGGTTTCAAGTGTACAATTCAATAATATATCTAATGCATACTGCTTTGTGTTCACCACCCAAACTCAAATCTCCTTCCATCACCATGTATTTGTAGGTTTTATTTTTTATTTTACATTTGAGACTAACTGCTCAAGATTCTCGCAACCATTTACAGATCTTTCCAAAAAATTTCCTCTTTGCCCATAATGTTTTCACCCATTTCCTACATTTAAATGTGTCTAAGTCCCTGATAATATATGATCTGCCACAACCAGTATTTTATCATCATTCTCTTATAGTCCTAAAGTTTATATTCATACAATACACAAGGATGAAGTATTACCAACTCTTTCAAGTAATTTCAACTGTTTAGTTCGGACCTATTATCCATCACTCTGCCCGAGATTCCCACTAATTAATAAAAGAAGAAAAAGTGACCCTTCAGGAATACAACAAAATGTTAAGAGCAAGATGTATGCTTTTTCCGATTATCATTTTCCAAGTTTTATATAATAAAAATTAACTCTTCCAATGGGAAAAAGCTTCTGAAGAAACTAAGCAGAACACTACTATGGACAGGAGCAAGAAAGTTCTAAAAAACATCCTCTTAACATTGCCAGTTGTCAGAAGGCAGGCTGAAAAATGTCGGGGCTTGATGACACACCAACTCTTGGAAAAAAACCACAGTAACTATTAAGCCAAAAGTTAATTCCAAAAGAACTTTTATCTTTTTCCCTGCCTTATTACAGCCTCAACCTTTTCCTACTTTGATTTCCATGGTTCTATCACTTCAATCATTCCCTTTGCATTTCTTTTAGTCATTCTTCATCTCTTTCTGTCCCAAGTAAATTCAGTTTTTCTACTGTCTCTGCTTCCAAGCCCACATTTCTGTCCTCT